TAGATGATGAACCAAAGTCACACTTCGTCACACTTAACGTTTATATATTGGAAAATTTCTGTATGATTTTCGCTAAATGATTCATGGGGGAATTATCGATCAAAAAAATGTTATCGTATTGTCTAATTTTTATAGTTTCCTCGTTTTCGATTAGTTAAATTAGTTTAATTCGGAATAGTATTATTGTATTATTGACTTATGTTATATATATCAATTTACCTTGAATTAATTATTATTCTTTTTGTGTTACAGGTATGAACAAAAATTATCCTGCTGCCACAAACTAGTCAGCCTGTATCGTAAGAATAACATTTGCTTCTTTTTCTTATAATTATAAGTAGAGATTTTTTGTGGTTCACAGTTTATTTTAGAATTATAACACGTGCGTATGTCGAATATTAGATTTTAGAGAGCATTTATTACATCCTATTATTTATATATTTAATTTTAAAAAAAGTTGATTTTAAATTAATCAAAATTAATTAACGTTCCTCCCATTCATTTCACGAGAAACTCTAGTATATCTAGTGTAACTCTCATAATCTAGTGTATTTTTACTACGAAAATCGACAAGTACATATTAATTAATTAATGATACAATAATATATTATTAACGCTAACGTTACGAATCCCATTTTACGTTAATGTGTTCTTTTGGATCACATTATAACAAGTCGCGTCACACAGGGAGTAATGTCCTCTAATGCACGTATGAGAAAATACTATGCTCAGAATGCAGTTGCATAACTTTACAACTGACCTTTTCTTGACTCGATACCTTCATTTTTTATTTTCTTCTTTTATGTCTTAGTTTTAAGGCCATTTCCTCGTTTTTTCCCTTCCATTAATTTTTTTAGTTTATAATATTATCGTAAATTTTATGCAACAATAAGACTGTAATAATAAATATTACTAATTTTTGCATTTTCTTAAAAGTAAATAGTTGAGGTTTATCATATGATTATATTATCCTATAGAATCAAGATTTTTATTTATTAGCAATAAGAAATAGTATTATATAACATAAGTAAAATGAAAGTAAAGAGGAATCTATAGAAAACGTGACCACAAATTCTACGATAAATACAAATAAAACTGTCAATGAAATATCACTTGATTTAATCGCATTAAAATGATATTCTACATTGTGTTTTATATATTTATCACGCAACGATTGCGATTTAACAGTAGATGCACTAATTGTAGAGATTTTATATAAGAGAAAACTGTGCAGCGGGGAACAGTGGAACGAGAGGGGAGGAGAAGAAAGCACTCTCTTTTAATATACCTACTATGATCTTCTCAGATTGGAATGTGCACTGGCAGTAATTTTAACGCGATTTAAAAATTAACTCACATGAGCAAGACGAGCGAGTCATTTTCGTCCACTTTTGGGAGACGTAATATCCGCGGGATATCATTCACGCGCCCGCTCGCGGCAGACAGTCTCTCGTCTCATCGTGCACAAGGAGGCGGCAATAAACGTTTTTAATTACAGTACGGCGACAGAGCTTTGAGATCGCGACATAAAAGCCAGGACGGAAAAGGGGGATGGGGAGCGGAGAGGAGGATGGCAGCATGACGACGGAGCGTTTCGCGGAAAACGTATTTTCGTTCACTCGGCCGCACGCGGAAAAGCGCTTTTCGCGCGCCGACGTCTGGCGCCGCCGCGACGCCCCGTCGCAATGTGCCGTGACGTATGAACAAATGCGCCCGATTTATAATTCTCCCTTGGCGGAGAGAAGCGTATAACTGGTGTGCGGGTGGCAAAACGCGAAATATCTTTCGTCTATGGAATATCGCGATATTCGTGTCGATTAAGCGGGGAATTGCGCGCATCGGGAGAGCGAGAGAGAGAAAGAGAGACATCGTCCCGCATACCAACCGTACGTTATAGGAAATTATATGTTTGTGTAGGAGAGACACAATAATAGACGACGCGCCAATCACCGCTCCAATGACTACAATTGAGCACAAATTAGGTAAAAAACTTGCCCAATTATCGATACTATTACTTTCTTCCATAATTGCGCTGCGACATGAAACCTAGAGACCTTGAAACTTAAAAGCCGTTACCGTATAGAGGATATTGTTTTACTTTTGCGTCTCCCTATCAATTTGTTTAAAATTCTAAACAAAATTATTTTTGAGAGATTTTAGTCTTTTTATTATTTTTTATAAATTTTTTAATGTATGCGCGTACAAATGACTTTTTTTATACGCGACTGTAAACAATTTTTTTCAAGAATATTTAATTTCGTGAAAAATATTTTTAGACAGCATATCTCGAATTTTTTTTTTGATTGTTATTCAGATAAACGGTGAGGGGACTGGTGCGACGTAAGCGCGAAATTCTGTTTTGCCGCATATTATGTCGCGATTTCGTCATCGTAAACGAAAACGGACACTAGTCGTTTTTCAACGTCCGGTCCAGTGATTCCGCTGTAGCCGCTGCGCCGTCGTGAAGCCGGTTCGAATTTCTAGCATCTCTGGTTTCGCCTTAGGACGCCGGTTGGAGCCGCTTACTTAGCATATACGGCGAGCGATCACAAAGGATTCTCTTCCAAGAAGATGCTTCGAAAACGGCCGCAGGCCGGTCCATCCTTTTATCTCCTCCGCGTGAGCCAGTCTGACCTCGCTTCTTCGTTACCTCATCGCCGGGAATTCTAATTAGACTCCGCGAATCGACTCCTTCGCGAAATATGTAATCGCGTATTGCGACATTGGAACAGAAAAAGAAAGCAGGGGACAGCAAGGGACAGAGAAAAAGAAAGACAAAGAACAAAGTTATTTTAGATGGGAAGATTCTTTAATACTTTGAGCTCTGTGCGACATCGTTGAAACTTTTATTATTGATATATATATCTCAATATAAAATATATGCCTTCCCCAAGAAAACTTTTGATAATTATCGAAGTTTCTTTCTCTTTTATGCAGTTGTAATAAAATATCGAAGGAGGAGTCTTAATTACTTTAATTACTTATATCAAACGTAGCATTATCAAGATTGACAACTAATTACTATCGAATTGTTTCGAAAAAATGTTAATTTTATGCATCTTCCATGTTTCTGCACGCCAGCAGAAAGAATGCATTTGCGAGCAAGCTGTCGCTTTATAAAAAAGCGGGGTAATTACGATATAATAATAACAGAGCCATAACGATAGCGGGCGTTTTATCGGTAAATCATTGGCGTTGTTCCGCCTCGAAAATTTCGTTCGTGCATCTTATGTAATTAAGCGCGTAAAATGTACGGTGCAATAACAGCAATTAATTACGGTGATTCGGACCACATTATTGTCCGAGAGAAACGAGATTAAGTGTGCGCAGCAAACCGATTTAAATATATATATATGATACATATTTTAATTTATATAACTGTTTAACCCGTTTTATCATCAGAAGTAGAAATTCCAAAAAAAATTTCATTACATAGAGATCATTTTTGAGATTAAGAAGTAAAATTATAATTTTTTCTCAATTATGAATCTGTAGACTTCTCGTACGTGATTGCTAAAATTATTAATATAATAAAATGCAAACTATGCAGCGCAATCTGTCAATTATAATTAACATTCAGTATCTTACGTTTAATCTTTTCATTTCTCTTTTATTTAACGTCTGCCATCGTAACGGCAATTTTTAGCCGAGTAGAAGACACAGCGGGATGATTCGCAAACGAGAACAATAGGGCATCGCGAATAGCAAGGAATTCCTGTTGGATTCGCGCGCGGAATCGTAAACGATCGCGAGGATAGCCAAAGAGGGCGACTTTGGTAGATTGCACTCTTCCCTTCCTTCCTCTTTCTCTCTCCCTCTTTCTTCCAACCCGAATGCTTTGGAATGCTGTCGTTGCCGCTGCCACCGCCGCTGCAACAAGAAAAAAAAATCTGATTGCCGAGGCGGCGGGGAGATCTTCGATGGGAAAGTTCTCGCGAACCGAAGAAGGAAAGATTTGACGATAAAAGAGCCGCGAGTCCTTGGAGGGAGTTCTCTTGCGGAAAGAAAAGGAGAAAGTGTGAAAGGGAGCGAGGACGAAAAGAGACGAAAGGACGAGAGCGAAGGAGGAGAAGATTGCACGCATAGTAGTGGTAGTAGTAATAGTAGAATAACCAGTCGTAGAATAACAGTTGCGTGCAACGACAACGGTACAGAAATGTGCATTGGAAATGATAAATCTTCCCAAATTCCCCCAAATCAATACTTTTCATGAGAAAGAATATATATCAAAATTAATACGTTATTTTTATCGATGAATATTAATCTTCAAAGAGAGTTCGGAGCATCGAATCTTTACATTGAAAGCAATAAATATTTGAGAAGATATCTGATTGTTTCGAAGCAGAACGATTGTAAATAAGTTAAGGAGAAAAGAAGGTAAAATTAAAAATTTTTAATTAAATGTAAAAGATATTTTTTTAGATATATATTTATTTAGCAGAAAATATTGTCACGTGTAAAAATATGTATTTACACATACATTTGCGATACGCAACGCCGCTTCGTCGATTATTTGAGGGCAGTTGTGACCCTGCTTCGTGGAAACGAGTTCAGCAGGTGGGGTCACGAGCTCAGACACGCGATCGTGCGTTGCAGCGAATGTTCCTCTCTTTCGATCGCCAGCTGCTGGCATTATTTCGCCCTTTTCATCTTGTACCTCTATATCGATCATCCCCATTCAAACGGACGACCGCACAGCTGTCGTACTCTACATTTTTACTGATACAGAAGCGAAAACGGAAGCGAAATAATTGTGGATTAAAAATCTCTCTGTATGTTTTAAATTTCTAATTATTTTTTAAATATCATTATTATTATTGTCAAAAATATTTAATTTTTTTTATCAAGAAATATATGAAAAATTATAAAAAATTTAAAAAATCTTAAAAAAAATAAATTTTAAAATTAAAATTACATGTAAATCGGAAATATTTCTGAATTAAACAAAAATTATTATGAGTAAATATATCCTTTTTATAAAGATATAAAAATAATCCGAGACGAAATTGGCGACTTGTTCGAAAAAGAAAATGAATGTGATCTCACGCATAAATCGTTATTTGCGTCATAAATCGTCGATACCACCGCCAGCAAGCGACCTTGGCCTGTGTGGACTTTTACAGAGCGAATAATCGTCTAACGAGATTTCGGGGCACGTGCGCTGGAACTTGGGTCGAGCAGACCATATAAATCGCAAGAGCTCGTGGTCTTCCAACGTAATAATCGACGTGCTAACCTGCTTCAGCAGAGAATTCTTTTTATTTCATTCCCGAAAGAGCAAAAGATAATACCTTCGATAGCAGCAAGCTGAGAAACGCGTTCATATCGCGAGTGTGTGAATAACTTCTGTTCATTTTTATTAAACAAGATATTTTCGAATTAATGTTGAAAAATTTATGGTCGCAATTTCGACCTTTAATCTAAATTTTTTATAAACATATTTGTAGTATTTTTATTCGTTTTAGGATTTTGTTTCTCCGCCAGCATTTTTTGTCCTACTTCATCTCCATGTTTCTTCATATGTCCATAAATGACATTAGGCGAGGCTGTCTTCAAATCGTAGATTAATCCCACATAAGCGAGAAAATCGATCACACATACACTCGAACCTCTGAACTTTCCAAATTCGGACATTCGATAGTCCCAAGGAAAGGCATGGTGAAAATTATGCCAACCGTCGGCAAATGTTACGAACCAAGAAATATTCGAAAATGTTGCTTGAATTCTCCTGAAAAAAACATCACAATCAATGTTACAAAGATTTACAACTTTAGTAAGATTGTATTTTACTTGAAAGAAAAATCGCGATAGAATTCAAATGATAATTAAATTACACATAATTAAAGTTGATTTTAAATTGACTATAGTTGATTATTAAAATAACATTTATAATTAGAGTAAATGTCAATTAAATGACATTAAAATAGCAGAAATTAGTATAATTATAAAAAAACATATTTTTATTTGAATATGATCAAATAAATAACAAATGATTTTCATAATAATATTTCTCCTGTCAAAAATTTTTCCAAACACCTACTTAATAATACGATATTGAGATAATAAACTCACTTGTCATAAGGTTTAGTACCCCATAAATGAGCGAATGAATTTACGGTCCACATGATGTGGAGGGTGGTGACATACCAAAAGCAATATCCCACAAAGAACGACGACCATAATGTCTCATTCCAGAAGTACATTGGGACTGATACCGGCAATACAATTGCTATAACGAAATAAAGATAAAAAAAGTACCTGGAAAAATCATCACATTTGTATTACTTTATATTTATGACTTGGCGTTACAACTACAATAGGCATTTAAATTTTTAATAACAGCTATTGTATTTCTTCGGTGAATAATTTAATTTGAATAATTTGTGATAACATTTGTATACTTATGTTGAAACATCAGCATTTTATCAGCGCGGAATTCTGAAATGTCGAGTTCTTTCTGTTTCTTCCTCACCAACGGATGCTTTATCGTCATAAGCCAACCCATATGGCAGAAAAAGAATCCTCTCTTGGAATTGTGGGGGTCTGCGTCTGTATCGCTGTATGTGTGATGAAGTCTGTGATCTCTAGCCCACGTAAACATGCTGTTCTGATATGAAAGTGAAATTGTTTGTGAGACTACGCGACAAGATCTTTTATTTCTGTTTCGGACGCATCTGACGTGTATGTCTCTCAAAGATTTTGTTCCAAATATATTCGTCAATTTCTTTTACCTGGCCTGCCATGGTTTGCAAAAAGAAGAGACAGATCTTCACAGGTTTAGTAATTTTATAAGCTTTGTGAGTATAATAACGATGCGCGCCTAACGAGACTCCTTGAAGGGCCCAAAATCCAACCCAAACCGCTGAAAAATTAACATTAATGTTTATTATGATTTCTTAATCATAAAGAGCATGAATGATTTGATAAAATAATCATACAGTTTCTAAGAAAGAAATTGATCAACAAACATATAAGAATTCTTGTCAGAAACATGTCATAAAAGAAAAATTAGTTATATTTTTTGTTAACATAACATGTACACATTTTAATCTAAAAAGTATATATAATTTAATGAATTAAAAGTAAAATATTTTATTATTAAAATATACAATCAATTGCTCATGCTAGATTTGTATAATTTAATGCTAACATCGTAATTATATATTTTAAGTTTGATTACCCCAAATAGTTGTAGCGAGTTTCGCATGAAAGATCACCGAGTATAATCCAACGAACCCTGATGCCTGAAGAACTGTATGTCCTATGACAAATGGCCAAATGTACGAATGCCGATAATTCATATCAGTACCTAGTTTCTTGTGAAACATTTCTTCCACTTCGTACGGCTTATTATCAGTTTTATCACGTATCTTTTCTGTGTCCATTTTTTAAAAGAACAGCGATTTTTTTTCGAAAATTTGTTACGTATAAATTTTGTTTGTAAAATTTGTCAAGTGTGCTTGCTGTCTTATCTATGTAATTACTTTTAAAACGTTGAATTGAAATAATCAAAGATTAATAATAAATACTTGAAATAATATTACTTTGATATATTCAGATTCACAGTGATATCGTTCGGGAATTGCGATTTTTTCGCGTTACACTCGTTTATATACTTTCTGAAATCATTGTCTTTTCATGCTAAAAAAAACAAGACTCCAAATTATATTGTTTGTAATGCTTTATTTAATTATTTTTACTCATTCTTGTCCGTGACCCGCATTTGCATATCCGTTTTTATTTCGATTACTTACATATTTTAATATAAAATGAGAATATAAAATGAGAAAACTTTAATAAAAATTTTATTCACGTTTGATTATATCGTATCTTGTAAAAGCTTTTTGGTTTTTTTAGAATATTACTAGAGCATATTTTATTACATTATTTATCTTAAAAATTCTATTATCAAGAGATAATATAAAACATATATTTAATCTGTATAAAATTTCATCTTTTGTGTACGCGTAATCTTCATTTTTATTATTTTTAATTGTTGTCAGTTGTTGGCACAACGGAGTAATTTAAAAAAATTTTTAATTTTTAATATTTTTAATTTTATTTTATATCTTCTCTCATATCATTTTATTTTTTTCACATTTATTTAAAATTATTATATTAAAATTATTATATATATATATATATATATATATATATATATTATATTTTTATCTCTTTTTATAATTTTATCTTTTTAATTATTTTTATATGTGCGAGATGAAGAGTTATGTAAATAGATAGATAGGTGCACAAAAATTGCGCAATACCAATTTGCTCGATTGCTCTAGGCTATCTAATTAGGCAAAAAAAAACATCTCGAGAGGAGAGGGGAGGAATAATCGAGTATGTTTTTTTCACGAAACGCGAAGGATCGGTCGCTCGGGGAAAGGACGAGGGACAATAGCGAGAATCATTCGTGCATTTACGATCGGAGCATACGCAGGGCATCTGTTCGTTAACCACCTGTCGGCAGGTGCGAACCGTACACCCAGCCCCGTTACCCCGCGCCGCGGCCGGGTATCAATCGGCCATTTTGTTTTCGCCGATCTGGCTCCTCGAAGCCATTCCCGTTTTACTACGACGTAGTAACGCGTGACACGCGATACCCTTCGCCGGATGTTATCGGCGCACAGTGTGGTCTCCCCTTCTTCTTTTTCTCCCTCTAACCACGTAAAACCCCTTAAGCTCATGGGGCACGTAAACAGGAAGTCCCCGTTCTTCTCCTCTTCCCACTATCGCGTCCCTTTGGTCCGTGCAGGTTGCGAATAATACGTAGGAGGCACCTGCGGTGAATGCGATCTCTCTGCGATTTATCGTAAGGATTCGCGTTTCTCATTGAGTATTCTCGACAATTTTTTTATTAGATTTTAATACGCTTTTTATCGTTACTGTCGGCTACGCTTTGAGCATAAAGATAGATCCTGACGATAAGCGACGCGTATATTTTAATGTGAGATGGCGATTCGCGTGCACAATGATCTAAAACGAGATGCGCGGAATAATTAATTTTTTTACTTATGTTACAGGCTGCGATACTTCAACAGACTGCCGAATACATATACCAATTAGAGCAAGAGAAGACACAATTGTTGTCGCAAAATTGTCAACTGAAACGATTGGTAAATCAACACGAGGGTGGCGATGTACCCAAGAAACGCAAATCCGACACTCAAGGTAAAAGTCTACGTTATCTTTTAATTAATTAATGTAAATTAATTATGTATGCAAAAAGAGAGTAAGAGCTTGATATTTTGAGCTTGAAAGACACACAATTTTTTCTGCTTTTATAAATTAAGAGATTAATTGCACAGAATCTTTTAAAAAAATCGCGATAAACATATCGAAACATATATCACGAAAAAATATAGCGATAATATAAAGATACATCAATAAAATATCATTGCGAGCATTGCTTGCGCGCAAACATTTGCACACGTAAAAGCAATGGAATTAACTTAACGTTCATCGCATAACGAGATTTTCCAAATGGGCTTGAATTATTTATCGCCCGTGCGACCGCGATTGCACTGTCCCGGTGTGGATTTAGTATCATAAAAACAAAAAGCGGAAACAATCGGCAGAGCGCGAAAAGTTGCGGAAATATACATTGCGATCCGCTTATTTCACGGTTTACCCGCATTTATAACGTTGAACCATAAGTTATTTTTCAATCGCGAAATTGAATTGTTGAGTCTCGAAAACTCTCTCGCGTCCAAGTAAATAACATCACGTTTTCGAACATAGCTTTATAGATTTGTAGATTTATTTATAGATTTATTTGCTTGAACGAATCGGTGAATGTTCGAACATGTCGCCATAACGCGTGTGAAAAATTTGTCTCTCTTTTATTTATTTACGTATTCATTAAATCAATACGCACGGGAGACTTGTGCCATATTTCGCTGCAGGAATGACAAATTTTGCAGGAATTTTTTAATCACTCCCATGTCGGCGAGAACGATTAATGCAAACGCATTTGAGGGAGACGTTCGTCATTTTCATGATAGTAATTACATTCTTCGCGACTATAGTATTACGTCGAAAAGATATATGCATAGACTATTTCAGGAGAGAAGCTCTCAATATAATATCGAGATGATATAATATCGATTATTGCGAATATATATATGAAACTTTCACGATCTAATTTAATCTGAGTGAAACCTAATCCAATGTGCGTAGAACCTAATTTAATTATTATATATTAAGGCGAATCTCTCTCTCTCTCCATGGCTGTGTTTTATTACTTTTATCCATTAAAAAGCAACATGAACAAAAGAGAACTGTGCAATGAAATTAAAACTCAAGTAATGTTAAACTTTTGATACCAAATAATTAATTTGTGATACATCGTTTCATTAAAATATGAGATTATGCCTCTGGAAGATTAAACTTTCGATTATAATCGGATTCGGTGAAACGGGACAGTGGACAACAATGGCAGGAATTGTTCCCGGCCATGTTAGCCTTTGAAAGTCTAGTTATTACTTTGGCGGCTAAATACAACTTTGACGGATTAAAGTGCCTCTCCTTTTCCGATCTAACTCGATTCGGCGTTTCGGTGATGTCGCCGTCGTGGCGATACGGCCGCCGGAAAGTATCTGTCGCGAACTTCGACCGAGACAATTTCAATTTCTGATTCTATCGTAAATTAGTTTCCTCCGTCGATGGCACGCCGATATTCGGAAAGTTCGTCGTCGGCTGTGCGACGGAGCGGATTTAATGCCGACGGGCCACTTTTATCGATCAACCGCGGTTATCCTCCCGATTGCCCTCAAATATTAGTCTCGACATTTACAATCATTATCCGAGCGGTAGAATAACGTTTCGCAATTTATAAAGAAGAAGCTAACTCGACTCCTCAAGTTGATATTTAAACAGGTATTTTGCAGATGGTCTCTATAAATATGAATTGTGGTATAAATCGTGTAGAAATAAAGCAATTTTAAATAAAGAAAAAAATATAATTTTTTTATTAATATATATTTTATATATTTTATATATTTTATATATTTTATAAATTTTGTATTTTATATATTATATTTATACACAATATCGGGATTAAATGGGTATGGGATGGAAATATGTATAATATTTAAAAGCATGATATATTTCTGATCAAACTACGTGTAATATAAGCGATTTAATATTACTTTTAAATCTATAGTTTGGCTTGAAAAATGAAAATTAATGATACTGAAACTATCTCAATGACAATGGTCGATAATCTCAATTATCGTTGCCATAGAAATTATGCGGCACGAATGTTAATTAATGAATGTTCGGTTGATGAAAAGTATTTGCTAGAACGGTATGTGCACACGCAATTTGCTACGTTATCGCGCTATAATTTGACGTTCCGTGACGTCAAACAACGCATAAATGCATAAATGAAGTAACATACAAGAGTACGTAAAGTTACATTCACTTCGCTTTAATATAACGTCGAAACAAATGAACTGGCTTTTGATCCGCGCGAGGTGGGAGGGGAGGGTCTCTATATTTGTTCTATATCGTAAACAGTGACCAGATTTAATTTCGCTCATGGCCTCGCAATTCCGTTTATACCGCATATGTGTTTTCGCACTGCTGCATTGAAGCGCGCGCACCGGAAATCTGAAAGTTTATTGCGGTTATTCCAACGATCTGTAATCCGAAAATTTGTGAAACTTTCCTAAAATTAATTTCACAAAAATATTAAGTCTTTTTATTCCATAAAAATATTTTTTTCCTTTACATACAGTTATCTATTTGACACTTACTCTTCGATATATAAGTAATTTAAAAGGGGAAAAAATTGTATAATTAATTAATATTTAATTGCGACGCTTATCAATTGTATTTTCATCTTTTTACTAAAAGGTATTTTAATTTAATGTCTCTTTCATTCGACTTTTTCTGTTTAGGCGTCGTCGTTAGTCTACCTATGCATGTCAGCGAGAGCGGCGACGAAGGCTTGGGCAGCATGTCCCCCGAGCCGATGTCTGTAATCACAGTGACCACAGAGGGACATTCCGTGAACAGCGAGGTAGTGGAGCTTAGACGACAGCTAGAGAGGGAGCGTCACGCGAGACTGCATTTAGAGAAACAGATGAGAGCTATACAGAGTCAGTTATATCCAGAGAGATTCCGGGACAATCAGCTTATCGCTTATCAGCCCCACGAGGTAACTGTCCAATTTCGTATAATCGTTTTCATCAATCTATCGAAAAGATTCTTCAGTGAAAAAAATTTAACAATATATTGTATAAAAATAAATTAATTCATAAAATTAAAACAAGAAAAATAAAATTTGAATTATGTGAGGCAAGCTAGATAAGCGACATAAAGCTTTGCAAATGGAATTATGTAGTTGTAAAAAAAAGAAAGAAAGAAAGAAAAAAGAAAAACGTAATAAAAGTGCGATATACCGGCCTTAACTGAAATGTCACAATCTATATGAAAACATGTTTAAACGGATTTCGGTTGCCGAGAGATTACCATCTACACGATGCAGAATATAATTCAGCCGTGAACTCTCGTTTGACCCTCGAGGGTTTAAACGTTTCCAGGCGAAAAATATTGCAAACATTGTTTTAATTGCTTGAATAGAGATCGTTGCTTCCGATAACAGTCCGCGCGTGACACAACGCACTATGTACAGTTTTGTTATTTCTATCGAATCAATTTCTTCCTTTTTTTCCCTTCAATGACATTTTGCTTGCTTCCGCCTCGAACGAATAAATTGCCAAAGCACAGGTTTTACAACTATCATACTAATAATTAGCGTAACTTGCTTCTAACAGGTCATCGAGCACACGGACAATGTGATGGCGCAGGAAACGGAAGAGGCGGTGGCCGCGTTGCAGGTAGTCTCGGTTATGTCTTTGCCACCTGTGGGTTCCACTCAAACCGTGGAAACTTCAAGTCCGGATCCGAGCTCGCCGCCATTATCGCCACAGCCAGCTGACATGGAGATAAAGCCGGAGGAGATAAAGGAGGAAGAATCGTGTCCAGGTAGTCCGAAGATCGTCACTTTCGCCCAAAATCAGGTGTTCACGGCGATGGAGGAGCAGACCACTACGGATTCATTTTCATCGTCGAGTCGCGTTACCTATGCCACATCAGCTTCTGCGGATTTTAAGAACACTTCACCTCAGTACATTACCGCGAGTCCCAGCAGACCTTTCTCACCGGCTGCTGAGCCTCAACGGCTACCCAGTGTTTTAGAGGCTGCGATAAAGGCTGAGCCCAAAGTCGAGGTGGAGAGGTACGTATATCATGTTTATTCTGTTTTAAGTATGTAACTGTTGTTTGTCTGATGATTCTGATCGTTTTCTGAAACATAGAGAATAAGAGAAAGGTGCCATAAATTAATAAAAAGTTTAGCTCAAACATAAAGTCATGTATAGTTTTATATAGTTCTTTGTATTTAATTTATCTGACGTAATAGTAATCGTAGATTCGTTTTGTCTACAAAAACCTAGACGATATTCGATATTCGTTAACGAAAGATTTCTAAATGCAGGTTGCCTTCTCCGTCGAACTCTTTGGACGACGGCATTCCACAAGCAAGGCTGTATATCGCCAACACATCTCGGCAGAACTTGGAAACGATCGTCGAGGCGATACGTCATCTGGAGGGCGACCATCTGTTTGGCGAAGAGCGAGAGCCCGCGCAGGAGGTGCCGTTAGCATTGACCAATAAGCAACAAACGATGGTGAACTCAACGTCGACGAAGTCTACATCGTCCTCTCCCCCATCTTCCGCCTCGCCTTCGGCAACGTCCGCCACGGTGACATCCGCGAAGCAACGGATACTGCACGCCGAACACTTCCTCCAATTTCACACGCAACAACAAACCCAACAGCGACCCGGCGTGATCGTGGTGAAGCACTCGTGATCCAGCAACGCACTGCGCTCCGTGCACTGAACGATGTACTCGAAACAGCGACGCATTCGTTTCCATCGCTTGACATCATCGCGATTTATCACTCGAAAATGAGGAATCCTTTTTGGCCTGGACAGAAAGAAAGCGAATATTTACGAAGATAGGTAGACAGAGCGATTGTAATTATTGTAATCGTATATGTATTCTTTTTCGGTACAACGGAAAAGAATACTCTCCGTCTGCCGTTAAATCTCCAATTGTTACCGGAGATCGTTATTCTATATACTGCGAAAGGCACTTTATGTATGTTCCTACGTGTTTTGCTTGCCTTCGTTTTTACAAAGATCGCTTAAAATGAAATAATGCATACAATCACGATAGAATGAAATTTAAGATAGAAGCAATAAGGTTTTAAATCACACGGACATAGCGCAAACAGATAACGAAGGCAGAGCCAAGCTCGAAGCTTAATAAAAGGATCCTCAGTGTCGAATTATTGAAACGAAACGTCGTTTTCCCATTTTTTTTTCTCATGTAAATACTAACAATTCCTTCCGATCGTGTATTTCCGATCGCTACGAGATCTCGAAGAGATCTTCTTTGAATCTCGAAAAATTTCCCGTTCCCTCCCTCCTCCCAAAGAAAGATTCCCTTTCTTTCGCGAGAAAATTGCGAAATGAGAAGCGGACGTTTCTTATCCTTCGTTTTACTAGATAGTATGTTTTTAGACTTAAGCGAGAATCGTCGATAATATTCCTAGGCGGCTAAGTCTGCGTACGCTGTATAATACATATGTTATACATAAATATATGATTTGTAAAGAGTATAAAGTACATATTTACGTTCTTTTTTTATATTGTTACGAAAATGCAAAAAATACAAGACGACAATGCGAGGATTGAGATATTAAGATAAAACGACGCGTATATATGTTCTTTCGCTTGTTACGGGGTTACACATACCACTAGACCGGGGCGCGAAATGACTAGAAGAAAGTGGACTCAAATAATAACAAGATTAATCAAAATATATCCGCACGCAATCTTTAATATTTGACACACATGTTAGAAAAAACGCTACGGCAGAGCGGAACGAACATCGGTGCCCCGCGTGTATAGGTCTGCGTAACTCCTGTCTACTATGTTTTCGCGTGTTATTCAAACATGTCGCGGGTTGGAGAAAAATTCCGTTTAATCTGTGCCAAATATCCCCAGACGTTTTGTTCCTTCATAGTAGACATAATGTACGTAAAGTGACGACGCCGGTCGGTACATCTGGTAGACCGAAAGCGAGTTCACGATCTCTCGTCTCCTCCAACTTATTCGTCAATGCGATACGACGACCGGGAACCTTGATAAAGTGATGACTTTTCCCGATCGTTATTTCCGTTGAGTCGCAGACCATTCTATCGGATCAACATCATTGATCGATGCTAATTATTGCAAGGAGAAACATGGGAATGGCGACAAGCTTTCTATGTGTTGACATTCTGTATGGTTCTCTTTGCGAAACTTTTAACCCTGCATACGATATATTGCATACGAGTTTTTTCTACGCAACATACGGATTTCTTATAGCTTGCGAATACGAGACTAAGAGGCTTGGAATTTACAATTTCTCGTGCCTTTCGAGAAGAGGAGCGATCGGAAAGGGTCGAACGATCGATTGACCGGTGCTGAGATAAGAACCGTTACGTTTTATTTTTTCTTTTCTTTCATTCATTTACACGCGTCTATTGTGTATTATGTATGTTAACTTTTTCTTTTTGTGTTATTTCTCTTTGTGCATGTACCGTTTCATCGAGTGTTTGTCGATTGCAAGCGTTATCGCTTGCGAATAATAGACTCATAGACCAATTTTTAATCAATTACATTATAGTACATCCTTTCGCTCGTAATTTACTATTATTACTGCTACTATTACTACTATTACTATTACTACTACTACTTTCTTTTCTACGATGAGGATAATTAATGTACGAGCGCGACATAAGCTTAAGGGTTTAATGCATAGAGGTATATGCCTATGAGAAATTAATTTTAAGTACTCTTTAAATGTAAGTAAGTTAGTGGACCTCTAAACGAGGTAACATGGTAAGACACAGAATTACAGTTAAGACCTTTAGTTAATCTTCTAGCAATTAGGATAAATGTAGAAATTGTTTAGTCGAGTACGCAATTTGAAATACATCCAGGTTATTGTCTATCTGTATGATAAATGTGACGCTACTCCGTAATTGTATTGCGTGTATATAATACCTTTTAGCGGATATCATCGCATAACACGATCACCTAGCTGATGTACTACGATGCTGAAATAGGATAATGTCGTAAATGCACCTTTCGTACCTTTCGTCATCGTTCAATTCAAATCTCATTTCGATAGCGCATATTTGCATATTTTTTTACGTACCATTGACATTTTCATTGCTTGTTTTTTTTTTCAGAATATGCACATATATAGATGTAAGAGCTATATTAATTATCTGGACTAGAAAAAAGATACATACACACACACATATATATATATATATATATATATATATATTTATATTTATATTTATATTTATATATATATATTTAACGGAACAATTGCTCCCGAAATGTACGAAAGGCGCCCTATGTAGGAGTTACGATTCTATCTTAGGCTTTCGACATTCGCGATGAAAATGTGATCCCGCGTTTCCGAAGTCGCGGATCTCGAAGGTAATGTACAAAGCTCGATGTCGACGTTCATACGAGGACGCACGAGGGCCTAAAACGAATAGAGAAATTCTTCGTTTCTATCTTTTCCCCCCCCATGAATCGTACGGAAGATTCACGGCAGATTTATTATTTTCATGGGATAAAAAATTGTTAACGAAAGTCGTCTTCTGCATTATCGCGCTATATTCCTCGGTAACAAGTAATTGAGTATATGTAAAAATACCGAGTGTGTGTAATGCGACGATGTTTATCACTTAGGTTCGACATAAGTTGTCGAATCAATCGGAAAAAATCGCCGGGAAGATTTTCGAAGATAGGAAAAGGAAATGGAATGTCGTTGAGTTTAACACTAATTGAATTTTTCTCATACGCGAGTCCGATATACATGTCTCGTTTTCCCACATATACGTCTCATTTGAATAGTTTCGAAAATCTCGTGCGAATATCTTCGGCGCTTCCATGATACATACACATACACATGTACACAAATGCACACATCCACATATACACAAATACAGATATATTCACGTGCGTAACTATATACGCATGTATAAAGTATACGAGAATGCTGTACGCACGTACGCATTTATAGAACCTATTGGTGATTCTCGAGTTTTTCGCGATTGATTTTTTCTTTCTTCCTATTTTGTTTCGCGCACGTTTTTATATTTTATTCCATCGCCCTTGATATTAGCGTGTCGCGATTTGCTCTAGAATAGGTGTCAGAATGGGGAGAGAGGGAAAGAGAATCGAATTGCAAAAAATTCGAAACATCATTGCGCACGTGTCAGCGTGAACGAGATCGAGGATATCACGATGATGATTTTATTACGATGAATGTCATTTCAAAATTTTTTATTCAAGATAAACTATTGGTTGAATCGAACGAATTCTCAATTTGTTTTTCGAATTCATATGTATCAATATCATTCTCTTTAATTGCGAGACGGGCAATGATTACGGAATATAAGTTTTAAATTTTGCAAAGATAATGCAAAGCTATTCTCTTTAAGTTAATTAAAAATCATAACATTTTCTGTTATGATTGTTATATATTATATTTTATGTTATACATATATGTTTTTTTTTAATTTTAACATTTTCGAAATAATGATATAAGTCTATTACTGATAATGATAAAAGACATAATCATAATTATACATATACATCTAAAGTCTTACATTAGATATTAGATATATTAGATATTAGAGATATTTTTTTTAATGCAAATTTTGCATTCACACTAAAAATCACACTAATGTTATTGAATTATTCTATTCACTATCTGTGATATAACTATTTTGCAACTATTGACACCTCACTGATTTTAGTGTGTTTTATTTTATATATTTCTTTGATATTCTATTTAATCGTTAGCGCTTTATACGTTCAACTATTATTTATAACTTATCATATAATAAGCTTTAATTACAAAAGCAATAATAGCTTGGTTTCATTTCGGTTGAATTCGCAGATATCATTGCATATAAAATGGTATGATGTACATTGTTGATATATTTCAAGATTCTGCCGTAGCTTCTAAAATGCGTAACTTTTTTTGATACAATGACAAGTCTTAAAAATTGACAATTGTTGCTGTTTAATTGAGAATTCGTTTGATTCTTATGTATAATTGGATTGCTATCAAAATCTCATGCGCAATGTAATATATGTGGCATAATAATTCTGTCGTACAAAATTTATATGTTACTAGTGAGTGTATGTTAAAAGTACATTAGAGTATCAATTTCGAGAAAATTTTTTTGACTTGCCGTCTTTCTAACTTTAATCAATGATATAATAAAAATAAGGAGAAACAAAATTTTTGCAATAATTTGTATTTAAAATGTCATTTTTTATTCATGTACATTTTTTTTGATTTCATTTAAAAAATATGCAATTTTTGCAACGAAGCTGATTTTCGTGAATTTTCACGAAATTTTAATGTCATTTTTTTATCTATTGCCACACATATATGCGTTACAGTATATGATGAATTTTAGAAACCATTCACGAAAATTTTAGATATCGTCGACTCGTTTTCGCGAATTTCAAGGGTGATGACTCGAAACGTTGATTCGAGCGGCGGTTTATCTGTGAGGCAGAATACAATGTAACATACGTGGAAGTCCCACGTAAAACGAGATTGTAGTTAGCGATTCAGATTCAGCCGCTTGAAAATTACGTTTCTTTTAAAAAAAAAGAGGGAGAAAAGGAGAGAGTGTCACTGTTTCTGCCGCAGTGACATTCGATCGAAATGATCTTTTTTATCGTTGAATATATACATATAAAGTATAAAAAAATATATAAATAAATATATATATATATACATACAAAACACACAATGGCTCCTATAACTTCTCTACAGCTTCGTTGAGAGAGAAAAGCAAAAAAGAATAACAATACGCAGGATACGGTTTAGCTGCTAATGAAAATTGCTGATAGAGTAATGTAATCGCATTGAGGGCAGTAGATAATGCGTGCGAAAAGAGTAAAATAAAAAGAAACAGCCGAATATTTCCGAGATTGCGAGCGAGAGCGTGGCTGTACGAATCGCGCGTGCGATCACGAGAATGACGAAGAAATTTTTACCGTTTAAGATTAATCTGATTTGTACACGTCGTGGCACATGGCGACTGAGAGTAGCGCCGAGATTAATCAATCAGCTGCCTCTAAAGAAAAGAATATTATAAATATAATATTTGTTTAGAGCTAGCGCTTTTCGAAATGCGTGAGCTCTTTTCTCTGTAGAAACTGATGGAAACAACTCGAACAATATGAAAGAGTTTAAAAGACTTTGAACTAAACAAGATTTAAAATGGTGTCTTTTAAATATCGGACTTTTTGGACATCTATATAAAATTATCTTTTATACGTCTTTGAACTGTTGTTTGTGTTGTTCGAAGATGATGACATATTGTTTACTTTGTAGAACATGATGTATCAAAATTTTACGACGTTAATATTTTACAGAATCAAGTATTTTTTTTGGATCAGCATTCTACTCTCTTTCGCCACAGGCCTATCGAGAGAAATGTACATAGCGTAAAAACCATAAAACATTGGATTGCTGGCGGAAGAATGTACAACAGGGAGATAGTAGATAGATAGATAGATAGACCTGGTAGAGATGGAGAAAGCGAGAGTAAGAGAGAGAACGGGAGAGTGCGAGAATGCTAGATGCAGATATGTAGATCGTGCGTATAAAATAGCGGAATTTGTAATAACGAGTAACATAGTTAGCGACAGAGATTCCAGAAGTCGTTTTCAGGAACAGAACTGAGTAGTATGCGCGTCGCGTATTTCTTTTTTTTTGCGAGTGAGAGAAAAGAGACGAAAAATGAGCGTGAGAATGCGTAGATGTAATTTGTAGCACGCCGAAAAGATGTTTTCTTTTTTCAAGTTTTGAAATACATTTCTTTTTTCTTCTTCTTTTAAATGACGTTAAACTGTACTTTGAATCATATCGGAATATCCGTCATATCGGAGTATCCGTCGACTGAAGAATGATCCGGGCTCACGCGATGCGTGATAAACGAAGGCATGCAATAGCAATCGTCAATATCATAAAAATCGAGAAAGAAAAAGAAAAAGTTATTGAATAATCCATTTCGAGAGCCTTGATTGAGAATTAGTATTGCAGACATCAAAAATCTTTGACGTTTTTGAAGCAGTTCGAAGGTTTATTCCTGTAAAAAAAAGAAAAGAAAATGATCAAAAAATTAACGTTAGATACTTGTTCAACAAATTTCTTCATACATAAAATATTTCTGTCTTTTGTAACATTTATTTACGTACTTCTTAGAGTTCTGTAGTTCCATTAAACTGTTTAATGTTAACTCTATAGTGAGAATATTTATCTAGATACATATTTAGCCATCACTTCAAAAAGCGTCAAGCTTAATCGAAGACTGAGAAGTATGTAATTTTGTGTCCAGGGATATAAATTTATTTCTGATAAAACTTGTGTCAAATCAAAGTATAATTTTCGTTGTTTTTTTTTCATGAGAGAGAGAAAGAGAGTGAGAGAGAGAGTTATTACATTTTTCATAAATTATCTTAAACTGTTGATTGGCACTGCAAGTATTTGTTGTTATTGAAATCTTCTGAAATACGTAACGCATTCTTCGATAATTAATATTATCCGAAGAATATCAAGAAAATGTACCAATTATCAACTACGTACTGATGAAAACGCTTTGCTCGAAAAGATTCGGATCAGCGAGAGAAAGATGCTCTCTTAATTTTTTAAACACATTGAAAACAATTTCTAGCTCGAATAAGCGTAAGAAAAGTAATATCGACCAAATAAAAATCTATTAGAGAGTGTCGTATAATGAAAGACCGATACGGAAGATTAATACCAGCAATGCGTCGCGTCGTATGTGATAACGAAAAATATGTAAAATTGAAATATTTTCTGTAATTCAAAATTTTAAATAATCGATTTTAATTATTAATTAACAGCGATAATTACGCTGATACTAATTGTAAAATTGATTGTAGAGCATTTGAACAAAGGAAAAGAATATGAAACAAGATAGAATAATTAACTATTGAAATTTATAAATATGATATAAATAAGTTTATATCGATCGTATTATAAACACGCGACATATTGCTTCAGTTTTACAATTTCCATGCACCGTCCAGTTGAGTACGAAGAGAACGAAGAGACTTACCCGAAGATTACGTGGCTCCTTTAGAGACCATCTTTTTACACTGATAATAGTCAA